AGTGCCCCCCCCCCTCCAAAAAAAAAAAAAAAAGTTTATTTCAAAATCATATATTTTTTAATCTATTTTTTTTAAAGATAAAGGTGACAAAATCATGTGGCTACATTTATTGAATCAATGAAATTTTTTTCAAAAATAATTTGCACACTAAGATTTAAATATGAACATAATAGACCCAATGGGTCAAACTAGAGTCTACTAATCGGGTCCTTTTATTTTTATTTTTTTCTCTGTCTCTCTGTACAATTGAGGAGATTTTTAGACAAAAAAAACCTTTATTTTATCTTATTTTACTTTTTTGCTAGGTCTAAAGAGAAGATTTTTGGTCAAAGAACCTTTATTTTATTTTATTTTACTTTTTTTTGCTAGGTCTTGACATAAGATTTTTTGTATGGCTTTGGACAAATAAAGTATTTTTGGTTGAACTTTGCAGCTTGGTTGGAATGTTTGTGATTATTGTGGGGTTGTATTCATTCTTGTGGGGAAAGAGAAAGGAGTTCAAAGTTGCAGCAACTGAGGCATCAATATCAGAAATATCCAATGTTGAAGATTTTGCTGATCACAAGAGCCAAAGGAACTTAATGGGAGTATAGTACACCTATTCCAACTAGCGCCCTCTTTTTTAAAAAAAAAGAAATATCTGTCAATTTTCATCTGAATAAAACAAAAACAGTGGTGCCAGAGATAGTTCTTATCATCAAGTCAATGATACAGTTTAATTTAAGATAATAGAATGGTGGTGGTAATTGTTTATACCGCTATTCTCTTCTTGCCCATTTTATACAACACCCTAATTTAAATAGCCATTCTTTAAATATTTTTTGATACTTCCAGAATAGCATTATTTTTCGTACGAGGTAGATCTGAAATTTTTTATTTTCAAATTTCTTTGTCCTTTACCTCAAAACATTCACATCTATTAAATTGTTTTTTAATATTAGTGCATCTCTAATTTTTTTTAAAAAAACTACCTAAGTGAGAAAAGTTAAAACATTTGTGATGTGTGGTGTTGGTTATCGATTGTTATGATTATGCTACCCACATTGTTGTAAGTTGTATTAGACATGCCAATTTTAATAATAATTTTATTAAAATAAAAATAAAAAAAAATTATGGATTTGTCAAACGAGTTCGACTTGGAAGAAGCATCCGACAAAATGCCACCGTGCAATGCTTAATAAGACAGTTGCTGACAAAATTTCGCGGTTTGCATACTCTACAAATTTTATTCAAAGGATTAACCAACAACATATTTAAAATTAAAAATAAAAATAAAAATAAAAAAATTGATTCCTTCAAGTTCATATGGAGTGAAGGTTCTGATGGTACTACTGGTCCTTGATGGATGGGTCGGGCTGATTCACGCCTCCCACACCATTGTCCGGTTGCTGGGCTCACTGAGATACCTATACAAAAGTTCAACGGGAAACGGGAGTCCCTCAGTGAACCCTCCGACGAGCAAGTTAAAAGAAAGAGATTAATGGAATGTAAAGATAGGGTGATGATAGGGAACTTAACATTTTTTTTGTCTTAAAAACCTGCTTATATCATTTATTCATCATTTCCTTGTCCACTCCAACCTGTTATGTTGGCCGAAAGTCTATGTTTTAGCCTGTCTTGTTCATGGTGAGACTGTTTTGTTCCGACGTGAAGGGGTTATCGTATTAAATGCTGCAAGGGACCTCATGAATGGCTGATGTATGGTGCAATAACTCTGCAGGATCTTTATCTGCTTACGTAGCTGGTTCTTCTCTTGACAAGTGTTTAGATGTCATTGGTTCTTGGTGCAGTGATGGGTTCCAGTAACATTAGGCCTTAGTGTTTGAATTGTGCATTGGGCTCTAAGTGGTGGGCCAAAAGCCCCTATGGGCCCACCTATATCAATAGTCCTCCATTCTCAAGTATAGTTCCAGTCCAACGAAGGGAATAAGGAAAAAGACGGGGGTTGTGGGTGGTCGAGTGAGAGAAGACCGACTGGGAGGAGGGTCGACCGCGAAGGGTGACCAAGTGGAGAGACCGATTGGGAGAAGGGCCGACCACGAAGGGTGACTGAGCGGAGAGACCGACTGGGAGGAGGGCCGACCGCAATGGGTGACCGAGTGGAGGGACCGACTAGGAGAAGCGCTGACCGCGAAGGGTGATTGAGTGGAGAGACCAACTGGGAAGAGGGCCAATCGCGAAGGGTGACCAAGTGGGAAAAATGGCGGCACACGGGGCTCAAGGAGCGGCGGGGCACGTGGTGATGTGAAATGGAATAAATAGGGAAGAAAAGAGGGTAGTGGATCGTGGTCGTACATGTGGCATAATCCCGTAATAAGGGAGGTGATGTGTTAGCGGGAAGCGAAGGGGTAGGCTAATATACGGCGTCGAAAAGGCGGGGGTGGAAGTTTTGGAAAATTTTCAGACTGGAAAAATTTAATCTCAATCCTTGGAATATAGGTAAACCGTGGGCATTTGGAGTTATTTGCTTTACTTACCTTTTCGCAAAAAACCAACACATCCCAGAGGTGAACTCATTTGTTTCGTATGACATTCCGCTGCAACACTTTGCGAATTTCCTTGTGCCAACGTCCGAAGCCATACACAGACACGTAGGAAGAATGGCTCAAGATGAAGTGTCAACTGTGAAACTAGACTCATTGCGAGAAGACAACACAGTGGAGTTGGTGGAACAGTATAAAGTAGAGAGAAGGGAGGGGAGGGGAGCTGGGCAAGCGGCGCGGGCTCGTTCGGCGACGATGATCATAGCCGCTAGGCCAATTAGCCTAGTGGAACCAGACCACTGGCACACCAAGGCCGACAAGTCCACGTTTACAGCGGAGGAGTTTGAGGAGGTAGAAAGGAAGTACCAAATTCTGGCAGAGATAGAGTTGACGTTGCCCACGTCTAAGGAGAGGGCATTGGATGCACGCCCGATGGGATTTACGCTGTACGAGGAAGCATTGTGGAGGGGGCTAACGTTGCCAATCCCTCAAGTAGTGGTAGATGTGGCGCCGGGGCAGTTGATGCCCAACGCATGGAAAATTCTAATGGCCTGCGCGATCGCATGGCCACGGGCGATCGATGGGGCGACGATGACAGTGGAAGAATTCTTTTCTTACTATAAAGTGTCCAGTCAACAAAAGACGTGGGTGACTTTACAGGCGGTGGCGGGCAGGGGGTTAGTAGCCTGGTTACCATTGTCGATGAAGGGGTGGAGACCGAGGTGGTTCTATGTATCGGCAAATGGTGGGAGGGGAGTGCGTACGACATGGAAGGTCCCCATGAAGTCAGTGGAGCTGAAGTTGGGGGCGGAGGCCGAAGGTAAGGTAAAAAGGATGAAGGAGTGGAGGGAGAAGGAGGGTGTGAGATGGGACGACCTTGTCCGTCTTTCAGCTTTGTATGCCTTGGGTTTGGGACCGCAGCCGACAGAAGAGGATCCCGCACTAGAGGAGTTGGAAGCAAGGCGAAAGGCGGAGGATGCGGAGGAGCGGAAGACCTTTACCAAGGCAGAAAAGTACAAAGCGTCTCAGCTGGGGCTGCTCCTAGGTTGGTGATGAGGGAGAGTCCAACCGCGTCCCAAGCCGTTGGGAGGCAAAGAACTAATTGACTTTTCCCTAGTGCCGCCCCCAGTAGACCCACTAAAGGAGAGGGGCAAACAGGAGGTGGATGCAGTGTCAAAGAAAACGAAGAAAAATAGGGCGGCGACAGAGGGGAGTAAAGATGCCCCTATTTTGAAGAAGATGAAGGATGGGAGGGCAGAGGAGGCACCAGGAAGAGAAACTGCCCAAGTGGCGAAAGAAGGCATGGGCCCAAGTGCTAAAAGAAGACATAGGCCCAAGTGCCCAAGCAGAGGCGACGGTGGGACCTATGGTAGAAGTATCTCCCAGTCCTGGTGAAAGGGAAGACTAGGATTAGCAAACTAGAAACGAGTGCAGCGCTGAAGACCGCCATGTACCATGCGCACAGGTTGGCAGGTCGCTCAGCAGAATAAGGGGGGGAGGCCAGGGTCGCAGCCAACCGCCTCGTTGGAGTGGTGGAGGATGCGACTGTATAGTCGATGGCGTAGTTGACGGAGGCCGACCTCCTGAGAGGGGTTTGCTCAGCCCAGATGGAAGCAGCGACCTTAGCGGCTGCCTTGATGAATAAAGCAGCGCGCTCGAAGATAGAGGTAGGAACGAAGGAGGGGGATGGGGGGGCTGGGCCGTCGGGAGTGGCCGCTGGAGGTAGGAATGAAGAAGAAGTGATCCAAAGCTTCTAACGGTCAGACTTCTACAAGCACGAGATGAGCCAGTACTGGGACAGTGGCTAGATGAGCTTCAAGTATAAGGCACAAGAGCTGTTCCCAGGCATGGACTTCAATCTCGTGAAGGTAGGGGAAGACGACGTTGCCCAGACCCCCTTGGACGAGGGGATTGAAGAAGAAGATCTTGCCTCCAGCAAGGGAGAGTGATCTTTGTAACTAAGTGTAAAAATTTTGTTTTTGTTTGTTTTGTTTTTTATATATGTAATTGCTGCTACGAATTGTATGAAAGCGTAAGTTTGTTAATAAAACAATGAGTTCTCTTATTTATTGTTGTTGTCGTTATGTCTCTGATTTGTAAATTTGGAATAATGAAAATAGTTGAGCAGAATTCAATAAAAAGTAGGTGTAAAGATGAAACTTGGGCGTAAATTGTGAAACTTGTAAGTAAATTGTGATGTAAAAATGGTAAAAATGGGTAATTAGGCTACCCTGTATGTTCA